GTAGAATACTTGTTTGCTAGACTTCTACCTCTCTATTAGAGTTCTTCACTAAACACAGAAATAGAGAAAATGTATTCTGAACATCATAATTTACCTTAAAATAGCCAAGCTGTGACTTTAGCCAAGTTTAAAAGTTTTTTTAAATCAATCACTGTAACGTTGCTTTAATTTGGGAGTTTATTGTATAAACCAATAAGTCTTGTGTGTTAACTACAGTAAAATGGGCCAAACTTCACTTTTCAAAAACGCTTTAATATTATAAACGGGTTTTGCACAAATTGAAATAAAAATAGTAAAGAAGCCGAGAAGTCAGAGCAAATTTGTCCTAAATTCTGAAACTCTCAGATTAATTCATCAAATTTGAGGTAAAAACTGCAGATCTGGAAAAATTCTTCAGTTCGAGTCTGACCAATCACGGTCCCAAAATAGCCAGTTTTGCCATTCTGATTTAATTTGTGAAAAGTTTGGTGATTACATTCCTCCACACTCCTAACTACCAAATCCTCAGCTTAACCTACAACATTATTCACCAAAGTGTGAATTGTCAGGAATTTAAAGCCACAATCCCCCCAGTCGCCCATGTTTTGAGAATTGTGCCTAGACATTGGTGAATAATGGAGTAAGTTAGCACCATCCTCCGGTTACTAATAAATCCAAAAGATTCATAATAAAAACAAGGCTGGAAGGCCACATCGCCATATGTTCTACCTTAAGTTATGGTAGAGTATTAAAGAAAAGTCGGCTAAACCCGCCTACTGCGGCATGACAGCGCATGCATCCCTGCAGCACAGTGACCGTTATTGTACAGCAGAGCTGTGCAGTAAAAGACCATTTATAACTCACACTATAGGAACTGCACCGATAATATTCCAGAGCCGATACACACCACCCATGCCAATATTCTGTACATTTAAAGGTTTGCAAAAGCGACAACATTTCTACATAAATCTGATTTTAACTGAACATGCGAACAGCAATCACACTCCTATCACTCTCAGCTAGCCCAATACATTACAGTAGATGAATCAGGGTCAACATGCCTGTCTTCAGCTGAGCTCCACATGCATGGAATCACAGGGAGGGGTGGTGTGAGGTTGCGAAGTGGTTCCTCAATGGCTGGCGACTTGAGTTTCTGGATGCGGTGACTCGGAGAGGTAAGTTATCGGTAATAAATCAGTATCAGCCTTGTAATTTACCAACTATTGGAAATATGCTAAACATAGACTGAACGGATTGTTGCTCCATCCCTACCCTGAGACAGCCACCTGTCACATCTAATGTCAACAAATCTTACAATCTGTGTACCCCCAATACGGCCAGGGTCAGAATCAGAGCCAGAACCTGGGGCCCCATTGTATATCCTGCAGCAAACAGGCCTAAAGAATTTCACCTACAGCCATACCAACGACAAGGGTGTTCGGCTAGTAAAGAGGGGACAGAACGGAAGGACCAAAAAGATAAAGCAGAACTGGCCTAGTAAAGCATTATGGGGGATGTGGGATGAGAACTGCCTTAAATTACTTTCAAATATGGTAAAAGGTCTATTAAACATAGGAAGACATGGATTTATCCAAAACAATATGTTAATGAACAGAGGGGGAAAAAAAGAAAAAATAAATAAATCTGCATCCTGACATCGAACTCTTTGACGAGGTACCCAGTTGTTTATGTGCGGCTTGGCTCTGCGGTTCTGAAGGGGTTAAGGCTTTCTGTAATCTATAGCCCGCCAAGCACAGTACTAACATGTTTACATGGCGTATGGCACACAACACCCAGACTTTACGCAATATTACCGCCCTATTCTGCAGGACATTGAATACATTCACGGTGGCTGGGTCGAAGACGGGGTATAAAACGCATTCATGGAGAGATCAGACACGGTCGGGAAATAACCAGAGATTGAACGTTTAGGCTAAACCTTTGGAACTGGAAACGGACAGACTGATTTCTTTATTAAACTGTGAAATTTAATTGAAAACATTAGGAAAAATATCTGAGCTGGAAAATGTTACTGATTTCACATTTCTAATCATTTACGCAATTCACAGTTAAACAAGTTCACCTCACAGACAGAAGACATTCCTATCAGTTTGGCCTCCCTTTACCCGCTAGAACATCAATCCAGCCCAGCCCCCGTCCCTTTACCCGCTAGATCCTAAACTCATCCCAGCCCCCGTCCCTTTACCCGCTAGATCCTAAACCCAGCACCCGTCCCTTTACCCGCTAAAACATGAACCCGGCCCAGCACCCGCCTCTTTACCCGCTAGAACATCAACCCGGCCCAGCACCCATCCCTTTACCCGCTAAAACATCAACCCAGCCCAGCACCCGTCCCTTTACCATCTAAAACATCAACCCGGCCCAGCACCCGTCACTTTACCCACTAAAACATCAACCCGGCCCAGCACCAGTCCGTTTACCCGCTAGATCCTAAACCCATCCCTTTACCCGCTAGAACATCAACCCGGCCCAGCACCCGTCCCTTTACCCACTAAAACATCAACCCAGCCCAGCAACCGTCCCTTTACCCGCTATATCTTCAACTAGGCCCAGCACCCGCCACTTTACCCGCTATATCTTCAACCCAGCCCAGCAACCGTCCCTTTATCCAGGAAAAAATAAATTTAAAAAAACTGAAGAAAAAAAAAAACCCACACGTTACCTGGATTATTGGCCTCGCCTTCAAGTATATGCAGTTCTGTGCAATCTACTAAGGAATGATCAAGGCAGATTTGGAGAAACCTCGCTTGGGTTGTGCTCACCCGTTTCAGCAGAGATAAAAGAGCCACGGTTTGTTCACATTCATTCCAGCCTTTAAACCATCCTGACAGCATGCTTACTTGATCCCGAAACATCATGATTATGGCAAGATTTTCAATATGCGTAAAAAAAAATAAAAAAGTTTGCAGACCATAAATTCAGAAATCACTCTCAGGGCAGCAAATTCCGCTCAGTTTTTTTTTTGACAAGTTTTCTGTTTTTAAACGAAGCAGCCGTGGGTTTTTCTTTCGTAGATCACACCAACACAGAAACATGGAGCGTTGTACAGTCAGCCCAAGTCATCGCCCCCCTTTCTTTTTGTGGGATTCACTGGTGTTATTCCCCAGATCTGACGTCCCCTTAGCTGGATGGCGTTCTCCTCCACACCCGCATTCCACAGCAATGCTCACAACTGCAAAAAATAAAATCCTCTCTCTAACTCATACTCCACAAGAGAAGGCCAACGCTAGCCACAGCCGGCACACAGATATCATACAGCCATCACTATCCATACAGCCCTGCAGCACAGCCATGGGGAGACAGGTAACTTGGTACCAGGTTGGCACCATACAGGAAATAAAGAACTTGGTGCAGTGATTAAATAGGATTTAACGGTTTCTGGGATCGCAATGCCTACATATGTCTCCATCAGGCTGGGTTTTAGAGACTGAACCTAATTAGGGGGTTGGGTGCTGCTTTTAATCCTTCCCCAAGAAAAATATATTAAGGGGCAATGGATTAGGGGTCAGCTAGGGTACATGACCTCATGAGGCTCTTCTACAAATGTCAAACTCACGCCAGCCATTTGGTGATGGGACCAAATGATTTATTACAAGAAGCGGTTTAAATGCCCTGAAATGACTGGAAAGAATAAAGCTGGTCTCCTGGTATAGGGGGCGTTATTCTGAAACTAGTACTGGGCTCTGGGGGGGGAGGGAATGGGGAGAGTGCACTCTGTAGCCGACATGGGGAAATGTACAACATTTGGGGTGGGGGGCCACCTGTACACATTTGGGGGTTTGGGGTCAGGGCAGCTCTGAGTATATAATCAGTTGGACACATGCAACAGATCTGTGTGTGCTTTCTATAGAGCCTGCAGTTAAGCAATGGGCAGGATGTAAAGTTATGGAATATCTGCACATTGTACACAGAGACTGACAGGGGCACAGACAGGCAGGGGCACAGAGACAGACAGGCAGACAGACAGGGGCACAGAGACAGACAGACAGACAGGGACACAGAGACAGGCAGAGTGAATCCCCCGGCCAGTGATCTGTCTGCAGTACAATGAGAAAGTGAGGCCTTTATGCAGTCTGCAGCTCCCTTTTATCCCCCCACCCCAGATCCCATCTGTCACCCCAAACCCAGTGCCCCCCCCCCCATAGAGCTCTCCTCCTTATATAAAGGACTCCTGTACCCTTCAGAATAATACCCCCCAGTCCAGCTCCATTTTCAACCCCTCAGCAACAATTCTGCTCCCCACTATTCTCCAGTTCTGCTGCCTCCTGCTCCCCCCC